AACCTGCTCAGAGAACTGGAGATGGAGATCGCTGCCGATGAGGCTAGCATGGTGAAATCACCACACGAACTAACTCCGGCAATTAATCTTGGTGACTCTCTCTTGCACGCCGAGGGGGCAAAGCCAACCGCGCAGAAACGAGACCATATGAGCAGCGCCGAGGTAGTGAGCACCGTCCGCCGTTGGGATGTTCACTACTCCGGTGGCGACACTCTGCACGACTTCTTGGAGAGGATTGAGGAGCTGGCGGAATGCTACTAAATCACGCCAGATCGACTCCTCCCAACCTTATCCGAAATACTCCGCACTACAATGGTTCCGCGTCCGAAGGCCACACATAACCACCTGGGCTATATTCCGCACCGAAGTTGAGCGATTCTTCCTTCCCCGTCGACACGTCAGTCAGCTGGAAGACGCTATTTGCCAGCGGAGACAGCAGAGCCGAGAGAAGGCCAAGGATTACATCCTAGCTCTCCAAACGCTGATCCGACAGCACCCAACGATGTGCAGCGACGACCACTTGGAGCGCATCTACGAAGGCTTGCGAGTGGAGTACCGATTATTCATAAAACGGGGCGAGTTCGATACTATCGAAGAATTAATGGAACTCACGAATATGAGCTGCTCAAAAGCGAGGAGGCCAGGCAAACCAGGCAAGCAGCACACTGCCTATCCACTCCACTCGAACGATGCGATGCGAAGAACACCTGCTGGAGGTGCAAAAAGCGCGGACACCGCCGATTCCAGTGCAGAGGTCCGAGGCGACTATTCTGCTCACGATGCGGACGAGATGGAACCCTCTCCAGGAATTGCCCGTGCCACGAGGAGAGGACAGCCATCTTCAAGTCACCCACCGATCAACTAACCACGTCTCAACCAGGCTGGTAAGGCCCCGATGGCCGCTTCTATGCGAACGTCCTGGTCGAAGGCATGAACATCCGAGCCCTAATCGACACTGGAGCCACCTTAACATATCTGGCTGAAAAAATGATATTGGGAATGGATTTCCTGGCAAAGCGTGGCATCGTGGTGTCACTAGACAACCAGCCACTAGCTCCCGCCCCACCGCCGAGATTCGATACTACACACGCGCTATGCAGCCTAATTGAAAGGGCACACCCGAACGAGGAACAAAATAAAATACTAGCCGATTTCTTGGAAACTCACAAGAGAGCGATTTTCCAAAATCACCGGGCCCAGAACCGCCGCCGAACACGAGATCACACTCCGGCATCATCGCCCACTGAGACAACGCTATTACACACGCAACCCTGCCATGCAGCAGGTGATAAACTTCGAAGTGGACGAGCTCCTCGCGGGGGAAAGGATCGAACCATCCAAAAGCACATACAGCTCCCCCATCGTCTTAGTTCGGAAAAAGCAAGGAAGTTGGCGCATGTGTATCGATTACCGCCAGCTCAATGCCGCCAGCGAACCAGACGCATACCCGTTTCCCCAGATTGGAGCGATCTTGGATCAGTTGAAGGAGGCAAAATATATATCCACGATCGACCTCAAAAATGGGTCGCCGCGTCGACTGGGCACTCTGACATGCCGCCAACACCACCGAGCCAGCCGCGGCAACCACAAACCCAGCCCTGGAGATCACCCCCGAACCAAGGGTCACCGAAACACCATCCAAAGCGGACTCGGCCACAACGAACGACGAAACGGCCACCGGGGACACATTCGACCCATTCAAAAAGCTGCGGCTAAGACGACCGAGAAACAATAAAGAGCGATGGCGATTTCAGTGGAAAGGGCACCGCATGCTCGCCATACAGATAGATGCGAACCACGCCATCTTCCGGTCAAAGGGGAGGACCAAAGTCATGGAGTATATAGACTGAAACCACCATCAATCAACACGAACCACGTTTTCCTTTTCATTTACTACCTCTTGTAATAATACCAAAAAAAAACACACAAAAAAAATAAAAAATTGTACCTATTATAATGTATACTTATTACAATTCTCATATCATTATAAAATCAAACTTTGTACCTACTTATAAGCACATATATACTTATTGCAACAAAAAAAAAAACAAATTTAATAATAATAACAAATAATAATCAATAAAAACAAGACCGCCCCACACACACCGACCGAGCTAGGGTACAACGTACTCTGGTAAATAATATCTAGGCTGGCCCTAAGGTAGTGCAGGCCTCAAACTCTAGAATACCGCAACTTGTCGTCCACCGAAGTGGGAGGAGGACTGTAACGTAGCTTTGCCTACGTTACAATAACATATTCAACATCACCCTAGCATACGTCTTACAACTGCACATAGGTACCAATATATGAACATACATACATACATTACTGGTAGGCGTACACACAAACTAAAAGCACCCCTATGTACATACATACAGGGGTACATACGCATACGCGAAGCTGGCATGGTAAGCACATGCAGACTTCACAAACAGCAACTTGGATACTCATGCGCACCAACAGATGGAAGAAGTTCACTGCGCAAAAGCCATAACACGGAATAAGCCCATTCACTTCTCAAACGGTTCATACAAAACCAGAGCTAAAGCTGCCAGCATGAACTCAACCAGCATCAGTTGTCCGTAGGTAACTTCTGAACACATTAAAAACGACGAGCTACAGACCACAGCTTCCAATTTGTTATCTTCATTATCTAAACGCTTTGTCGACGGTGACATGATTTCTTTGAACACGGCAGCGACATCATGAATTTGTATGAGTTTGACATAAAAGAAGAGGAATAACCTTATCTGTCGCCAGAAAAATAGAAATAGATCTAATCTGGCCACAACCACAGCCGTGGCGTAGCCCGGTCGTCGCCAAAATAATTATCTACATAAGAGTACGTGTTAAAATAATTTGACAGCTGTGGTTTGTAGCTCGTCGTTTTCATTGTGTTCGGGCTAGTAAGCACGGAGCGCAGCCTGGGATTCGGGCTTATTTGGGGCGCTCTTGGCTTTCCTCCTCGGAGGAAGACTGATTGGTTGAGGGGGGCTGCAAGGGGGGGAATACCCCTCAGGCAACACCCCAAAACCATTATGGGCTAGACCCATTTTTGGTTACGGTTTCAAGCAGACAGGGGGCGAGATCCGTTTGGGCTTGCCCAATTCCGAACACCCCTGCCTGCTTGCGATACCGCGCGGCTAGCGGGCGCTGAAGGGGGAGGGAACCACCTCCTACAGCGCCTAGCGGCCGCGAATACATACGGGGGACTGGGCAACCTTTCGATGCCCTGGGGGACCGTACTAATGATCGGTTGTCCGAAGGTATCATCAAATCTGGACCGCTATTACCACTGCCGCCCCAAGGCCGAAGCCACAACCGTGGGCCGCCCGCCATCATCGCCGAGGACCGCGAACGCTAACTATCACCAACCAGGGCCGCTGTCACCATTGCCACCATCAGAGCCCGCTGCTACTGTCTTCATTACTGGGGCCGCCGCCATTATCGTCGCCCCAGGCCGACCACTACTGCCCGTCACGAGTACGGTAATCGCCACTACCATCATCGCCCGGTACCGCTGTCACCGTCGTAATTAAAAGGGGCCGCATTTACCCTTCG